GATTTCGTCGCATCCAGAAAACCAAATGATATTGCTACTTACACTGGGTAAGCTTGCACCATGCGATTTTTCTAACTTTTGTTAGATAGCTGTTTTTCAGTACGTTTTCCCAAAATTAGTTTGTATTCAGATCGAGTCTTAAAGTACAATCTAGTTTTGAAGACTCAGCGAGTTTATTCAGGAGTGAAAATTGCTTCTGCGGCCAGTTTTTTTAGAAGTTTTTTTGCGAATGCAATTTGAAGGCATCTAAGGAAATATGTTGTTGTTTTAAATAGGCTTATGGGTGGCAAAATCCGTTGAATTGTACCGAAATTATTTTGCGGTTATCAAATTGAGTTTGCTCAAGTTCGGCTTAGAATGAACTAAAAAAAATAGTTGGAGTAATTCAAAAAAAAGTTAAAAAATTGCAATTTTTCTGCCTCTTCGCTGCCCTTTCTCCTTTCAACCTGTGTGAAATGCGGAGACATTCATCGGTATTTCGTATTAACTCAAGCTTTAAATGGGCATGTAAGCGAAATTACCAGATTTCAGCTCATCACATAAAATAGACTTTTTTTAGCAGTTGAAGATGTATTAATTTATTAGCAGCAATGGAGTAACTGAGTAAGAGAGTGGAAATCATTTTTTCAGAAATAAGAAATCAGTAGGCGAGGTGGAAATTGGAAGCACAAATCCGGACACAATGCCGTACATTGATGATGATACACGTGTGGACGATATATATTGGTTTCTTTTATTTCCCCTTATTTTTAAAATTCTCTTAAATATCCTCCCCTCATTTTTTGCTGAAAAACCGGAGAGATTTTTGAAACGGTTGGCTTGATAATGCTCTTAAGTAGTAACACAATCGCTCACCAGCAAAATTGTTTTTCATTTGCCTGGAAGAGGATGCTGAAGTTATTTTGAAACCCCGTATCGTAGCACAAGAGCCATTTAGCAGTTCGTAGAAGTTGCCTTGCCATTTTTCTGATCGTTCTTCTCGAATTATAAGCAACTAAAACCAGTTCCACTGCAGCATTGTCAACAGTATTTTTTGATCCGTTGAGTCTTCTTTGCAACATTTTTCGCTAGAGGATTGATTTTTCTGTCCAGTACTTTTTGGGACCCATCCCATCAGGATTTTTGTCCGCAATATTCGCGCCTCGCCCATTGGGGGATCTAAGGGGAGGAGTAGGAGGCAAGAAGCCTTTCGCCTCCCCCTTCTTTTTCCCTCCCCAAGGGCTCAGGTAGTAGTTGTTTTACTGTACAAAAATGTATTCGGTACCGCCTGTGGATCTCCTTCTCCCTCCCTCCAGGAGCCCTGCCACTTTTAATTTGTCCAGTAAGAACGGTGGAGGAGGAGGGGGAGGGGGTAGTGGCGAAGGGAG